GGGTGTAAATGATAACCGCATAATTTCTGCTGAATTTATGCTGAATTACAGAATTTGCTGAATTTCTGTTAAATTGTAGAATTTGCAGAATTTGCTGAATTTCTGCTGAATTGCAGAATTTGTTGAATTGTAGAATTTGCTGAATAAATGGTAATTTAAATGGTAACTGCGGAATTTGCAGAATTTGTTGAATCTGTTGAATTTGTTGAATGTGTGTTACTATTTAGTGCCTTAGTTTTTTTTTTATTGTTTTTTTGGATCAAAATTTTAGTTTCGTTTATATGACCAAATTTTTATTAAAAAATAATAAAAGGAAGCATATAATGAGCATTGTCTCTAAAAAAGAGGGTGCCTAATTTTTTTTTTTAGGGTGTCTAATTTGAAGTACAAGGGTGTGATAATATAAGGGACAAAGGGATTTCGTTCAATGAACATTGAAAAGAAGAGATCGATTTCTTTCTCTCTACTATGATGTTGACACTCCTACCAATCGTTCTTATATCTATAAATTGGCCGACTACAAGAGGAAGCAATAAATAGAAGTGTGTAGATAATTGAGAATTATTTAGCATAAATATTTCGACGTTGTCACTTTCGTCTTCGTTTTATCGTACTTTACATTACCATTAATATAACAAAAAAATAAAAAAGTCTTTTTAACTTGGAAAGAACGTGTGCATGTTAACTTTATTGAGTTACAATTCTATTTAATATAGATACCATTTAGACTTCAACTTTGTTATTTAACTAAATTATTATGTTTATTTTGTGCTAGCAACACTTATTATGCTTTCATAATTTCTACACCATTTACTTCGTTACCATCATTCAAAATTTAGTAAATTATATTACATAGCCCTTTCATTCTTGCTTTACTTTTCCTGATAATATTCTTTATTTTCTTATAGTATTTTTTTATTTTCTTCATAATTCTTAAAAAAAATATATATTTTTCAATATAAGACAAATGAGCATCACTTTAAAAAGAAAGTGATGGTTATATTTTTTTTCAATTTCTTTTATTCTTTTAAACTTGACTTGTATTAGAATTTTTTTTGTTTTTAAACGTCTAGTTTTATTATTTGCAATAATTTACAATAAGTGATGGTTATCTAGTGACAAATACTTTTATGAGTATAAACTAGAGTTTACCGTTAGATGCATTATCTTCCGAACTACAAAATTTAACATTACATATTTCATATTTTTGTTAATTAAAAATAATTATTTTATATATAATCGCAAAAACAACATATAAATGTCCAAAAAAAGAATATAAATAAACTATGACAACAATATCAAAGGGGTGAATATTTAAATTACTTAGTTATTTA